CAGTAAAAAAACAGTTGGTAAAATGATCATAATTGTTGAAACTAAAAGATGGGTACAGAGAGTCACTAAACGATTTTCTCAATTTTTATGAATGTTTGACCTTTTCCATATAAAACAAAGACAATATGTGTATTAATAGTTTATTAATAAATGTATCAGACACATCCCATGTGCTGCCTCACATTCCTTAGGTCTAGCCTTTCTCCTGGCTCCACAGCTACCTTCATGGCCAACTAGATCTGTGCATTCAGTCACCTGCAACTGACTAGTCACTTGTCCATAAGTGCTCAACTCTCCGTTTGGCTGCTCCTGCACAATAAGGCTGGACAGCCACCTGTCTGGAGTCTCTGGTCCTCCACCACTTCTGGACTCAGATGAAATGCCACACTGCAGGATGTGGGATCTGGCTTCCGAGCAGCCAGAGGAGCTGGAGGATGCCACCTAGGGAATTAATTCCCTATGGGGAGCATATTGACCAATGAGAAATAAGATGGGAGGGAGGCCGAGCACGGTGGCTCATGCCTATAATTCCAGCACTTTAGGACCCTGAGGCAGGTGGATCATTTTAAGGCCAAAAGTTTGAGACCAACCTGGCCAACATGGTGAAACACCATCTCTACTAAAAATACAAGAAATTAGGTTGGTGTGGTGGTACACCCCTGTAATCCCAGTTACTTGGGAGGCTGAGGCACGAGAATTGCTTGAACCTGGCAGGAGGAGGTGGCAGCGAGCCAAGATTAACTCACTGCCCTCCAATCTGGGGGACAGAGTGAGACTCTCTCAAAATAAGTAAATAAATAAAATAAAATAAAAATAAAAACCAACAAACCAGGAGGGAGCTGGTCAGATAAATTCCCTTTCTTCCCTCCTATGAACTGAGTTATGATTTTCCAAAACAGCCTGTCCAGAGATGTCCTGTATGGCTGAGCAGACATAGCTACTAAGTAGCCTGCCATGGCTCTTTGCCACTGGTCATGAAGCAGTTGCCTATATGATAACACACCACCTTGCATTGCTTCTCATCCTAGCCAATGTCATTTCCCTTTTTACTCTCTCTGTCTGCTTTCCCAATCAGCATTTAATCTTTGTTTCAGATTCTATTTTCTAGAGAAAATGAGTTAAGACAATTGGGTCCACAAGTAGTTCTAGAAAGCAAATCCTCAAGATAAATTTTGGGTTTGTATAGCTCACCTTCCTGAAATCAATATAGACTCTCTAAGGCAGATGGTGATAATCCTGATATGCAATAGCACCATAGCTTTCACTTGAGTTTATTTGGAGTAAACTGTATGGAGAGCAAGACTTTGGAAGATCAAGTAGCTGTGATAATCAGCTCAGAAACAATGATAATTATAAGGCATTGGAGATCCTGGAAACAAAAAATAGCAGGCTTGGAGCCAAGTCATGCAACGCTTTAAAGCCAGAAAGCCTCTATGGAAACTTTGAGAGTCTTATTTCCTGTAGTCATAGGATAGGCTCTTAAAATCAAGCCCAAGATCAAAGGGTAGCAGAATGGCAAAGGAAACTAAACGCATGCCCTTGACAGGCTGCCATTTCAAAGTGAGAGCCCAGATAGGAAAAGAGTGGGACCCTGAGACCTGGGATAGGGATATCAGAGTTAATGAGCATCATGACCATTCAAATGCCCTGAAGTCTCCTGCCCAAGGAAGACCCCCTTCCCCATGACTTGTTCTCCTCAAGACCTGGCCCCCCCCTTTATTGCCTCCAACAATACCAGAGTCAGGTTGTAGCACAGCCCATACTGGGAAGAAAATGCCCTGCTCCAGGGAGAAAAAAGCATACTTGCCAAAGATATTGCAGAGCTTGGCTAATGTGGACTGGCAGGAATTGTGAAATGTGTGTGGACTTGACTAGGTGTCAACTTGACAGGGTTATGGGTTACCCAGAGCTTACTCCCTGGACTGAGTAAGATCTGCCCTCACCCAATATGGGCAAGCATCACTCAATCCACTGAGGGCCCTCATAGAACAAAAGGCAAAGCAAGTGCAAACTCTCTCTCTCTCTTCTTGAGCTGGGGCATCCATATTCTCCTGCTCCCAGACATCAGAACTCCATGTTCTTTGGCCTACAGACTTTGAGGCTTATACCCAAGCTGCCCCCACCCCCTTTTCTCAGGCCTTTGGACCCTGGACTGAGAGTTACACCATCAGCCACCCTGGTTCTCAGACCTTTGGACCCAGAACTGAGAATTACACCATTAGCCACCCTGGTCCTCAGGCATTTGGACTCAGGCTGAATTACATCACCAGTTTCTCTGGTTTCTCCAGCTTGCAGACAGCAGACTGTGGGACTTCTCAGCTTTCATAATTGCCTGAGCCAATTCCCATAATAATTCCCTTATATATCAGTGTGTATATCCTATCAGTTCTGTTTCTCTGGAGAACCCTGGCTAATACACACATACAGAACACGAGAATTAATGTTCAGCAGGGAAGGCTGGAGTTTGTCTTAGCTGTTTTCTGGGATGGTTCTTGAAAGCCTGGTCCCAGCAATGGCCTACAATAAATAAAGTGGAGAAGCCAGATTTCCTTGTGTATTATTGAGGAAGGAGTCAGAAGACTCAGGGAGGTGGGAGTATTCGAAATGTTTCCTAGGTATGGCTCAAGAACCCACCACCTGCCCTGGGCTGGCCCAGAGGACACTCCCTGCTAAGCCAATAAAGAATGCACTATCGGCCAAGCACGGTAGTTCACACCTGTAATCCCAGAACTTTGGGAGGCAGAGGTGGGTAGATCACCTGAGGTCAGGGGTTCGAGACAAGGCTGGCCAACATGGCAAAAACCCGTCTCTACTGAAAATATAAAAATTAGCTGGGTTTGGTGGCACACGCCTGTAATCCCAGCTATTCAAGAGACGGAGGCAGGATAATTGCTTGAACTCGGGAGACAGAGGTTGCGGTGGGCTGAAATCATGCCACACTAGTCTCCAGCCTGGGCAACAGAGTGAGATTCCATCTCAAAAGAAAAAAAAAGAAAAAGAATGCACCATGGAGGAGGCTTTTGGAGGCATTGGGTGGTACTGGCTCTCCTTATAGTCCAGAGTTGTTGCTAAGGAAAAGGCTGCTATGGACCTGAGTTCCCTATTGGTAGCGGAGATGATAAAAATCCCAGAATTGCAGGGGCCAGGCGGGAGCACTTCACCATAAAGGACAAGGCAATCATACTTACCATACTTACCACAACAGACAGCAAGGTAGAGGGGCAATCAGGATGACCTTCTCTGCAGGGACTCATGGTGCTCGGCTAACATAGCATGGTGTTCCTAGGGAAAGGGTAACCACAGAATTTATTGTCCAAATTGGGTCACTGTTGAGAGCAAAAAGGAATGCTAGTCATGATTACACAGGAACAATGGGTAAATACCCGTGAGTGTAAACCAGGACCATCCCAATCAAACTGCCACCTATGGTCACCCTACCAAGGGGTGAGGTAGAAACACAAGGGGTAAGATATAAACACGTGTTAATATAAACATAATACATGGGTTTGCCTTTCCTGCCACAGACTTCAGAAGTACCACCATCTGAGAGCTCATAGACACCTTATCCATTGACATATTAACCCATGCAACACTTCCTCCAAACAAGAGAGCTATTTTATGGTGAAAGAGGGAGTGAAAATGGGCTGATGACCGTGGTCTACTGGCCTTACCATGTACCAAACACACAAGAGCAGCTGACCTGATAATATTGTGGAAAAGCCTGTTGAGACTCAGATAAGGCAAAACGAGGTGACAACATCTCACAGGGTTGTGGCCCAGTCCTCCAGGTTACAATATTCTTTGAACTAAAGACCAATATATGGTACTAATCTGTAATGACTAGAAAGGATGAATCCAGAAAGCAAGGGATGGAAGTAGAAGTGGCCCCTTTCACTCTTACACCCAGTGATACATTTGAGGAATTTTTGCTTTTTGTTCCCAGAACTTTGGACTCTTATGTTAGAAGTTCTGGTTTCCCGGGAGATATCTCTGTGAGGGCACACACTCAGGTTCCACTGACCTGGAAGCTGTAACTACTTACCTGGCTGCCTTGAGCACTGCAAGTTGGTGGGCAAAGAAAGGAGTTAAAGTACAATAATTATAATAATTGGCCAGGTGTGGAGACTCATGAATGAGCCTATAATCCCAGCACTTTGGGAGGCCAAGATGGGAGGATTGCTTGAGCCCAAGAGTTCAAGACTAGCCTGGGAAACATAGTGAGACCCTGTTTCTACAGAAACATTAAAAAATTAGCTGGACATGGTAGTGTACACCTATAGTCCTAACCATTCAAGAGGCTGAGGAAGGAAGATCGCTTGAGCACAGGAGTGCAAGGCTTCAGGGAGCCATGATCATGCCACTGCACTCCAACCCAGGCAACAGAGCAAGACCCTGTCTCCAAAAAAATTATAAAACCTTTAGCAGCCTGGATTATTCCTCTTGGATTGCAGGCAATCCAGGGGATTCACTGAGATACCTCCTGGTACTTCCACTCCTGGTAAAGCAATTATAACTCAGAAAGGGCTGTTCAACTAAGAGCTTCAGATCCCTACCTCCTCCCCTAGGTATGAAGATCATCCAATCAGGCAACCAATCTAGATGAATCAGCTGAAGTGTTGGACAAGAGGGAAGTCTAGCATGGGTGGTGGAGAAGGGAGATGATGAATATCAATTATGGCCTTAGAACTAGTAACGGTAGCTTGAATCAAGCCTTCTGTAGCTTGATACATCTGTCTCTTCCATTAGGCTTTCCAGAAAATTGCAACTGGCCACAACCTTAAAGGGAACTTTATAAATAAAAGGATTTGTATTTCCTCTCTTAGAAAAGAGGTGAAGAGTTTTATTTTTTTTATTTTTTTATTTTTTTAGAATGGCAGCTCCATATTCTCATGTGAGAACCATCTGTAATGGAAAGCCATGCCTTCTACTCTGGGGCAATGATTTATTTTTACCAGAATCAATATGTATAGCATATATGAGTTTGCTTTCATTGTCTACAGGGCTTCAACCAACACCACCATCTAAAGCTTACGGAAGGTCCTATCCATCAGCATGTTACCCCACACAACTTTTCTGAATGGCGAATGGGTAAGCTGTATTGGATATGTCTTCTGACGTCTTCTCAGATTTCTTTGGCCTTGACTGTGGCTGTAGCCAACCAGCTCCACCCAGTCCCACTGCCCAGGCCCTTCTCTCTGGCTGCTGTTGTATAACCAGAGTGACTAGCTGGTGGATGCACTCTCTGGCTCCTCCTGCCACTTCCACACTTGGATAAAATACTATGCAACAGGATATGTAATCTGGCTTCTGAATGGCCACCAAAGGGTCTGACTTACATGACCCAGAAGCATAAGGGTTAAGCCCCTGTGGAGCAACCATTGGGAAACAGGATATGGGAAGTTCATGAGGATAATTCCCTCACCTACCTCCTTTGGTGGATTTCTCTTAGGCGTGGTTTCTCCATACACCCTGTCCAAACACTTGGCACATGGTCAAGTGTGCACTCCTGCCAAGCAACCTGCAGTGTCTTTTGAGGCTCATTATAAAGTACAAAACTCCATCTCAAAAAAAAATAAAGTAGAGGCCAGAGTAGAAACCCACCACCATGCATTACTTCTAGTTTTCCTTGCCTCAATTCTCTTTTTTCCCAATCTTGTTATTCTGAGTTAACACCCGCCAAATAAAGCATCAGCACTTAATCCTTGCTTCAGACACTATTTTTAGGGCAGTGGTTCTCAAATTTTACATCCCCTAGGGGGCTCATTACAATGCAGATTCTGATTCAGTGAGTCAGGAGTGAGGCCTAAGCTTCTATATTTCTAATAAGCTGTCCCTGATGCTGCTAGTTGAGGACCCCACTTTGAGAAGCAAGTTTCAGGGAACCTGGGTTAAGACATAGCCTTAAGAAAAAAAGTTTAAGGCTAGGTGGGGTCATGCCTGTAATTTGGGGGACCAAGGCAGGTGAATCACCTGAGGACAGGAGTTGGAGACCAGCTTGACTGACATGGTGAAACCCCATCTCTACTAAAAATACAAAATTACCCAGGCATGGTGGTGCATCACCATAATCATAGTTACTTGGGAGGCTGAGGCAGGAGATTCGCTTGAACCCAGGAGGCGGAGGTTGCAGTGAGCCGAGATCACACCACTGCACTCAGATTGGGCAACAAGAGCAAAACTCCATCTCAAAGAAAAGAAAAGAAAAGAAAGTTTTAAAATTCCAGGTGAGTTAATTATTTAAATGAAAAACAAAGCCGGGTGTGGTGGTTCATGGCTATAATCCCAACACTTTGGGAAGCCAAGGCAAGCACATCACTTGAGCCCAGGAGTTTGAGACCAGCCTGGGCAACATGGTGAAACAATGTCTCTACAAAAAAATACAAAACTTAGCGGGGCATGGTGGTGCGTGCCTGTAGTCCCAGCTACTTGGGAGGCTAAGCTGGGAGGATGACCTGAGCCTGAGGAGGTTGAGGCTACAGTGAGCTGTGATGGTGCCACTGCACTCCAGCCTGGGTGACAGAGTGAGACCCCATTTCAATGAAAAAAATAACAACAAAATAAAGAAAAACAAATGTAAAATTTTTGGAGGAAACTGACCCGTGATCAGAAAAATTTACAGGGCAGAATTATTCATAATAAGCTTCAAAGCTGACTCTGTTTGCCCATGTAGGAAAAAATATTACTTATTAAAGAACACTGAGTAGCTCACAGATTTTCTGGTAGGACTAGAGAACTATGCTTTAGGCTAAGCTTCCAAGGTCAATATCCAAAACCATATTTCAGCACTAGACTGATGAGGAATTTCTGCTACCACCTTTGATACTAGACCACGCAATTTGCATTGCCTCCAACTGGACTTTGCTGGAGTGGCCCTTACTGCCACCTCTAGTGCCATTTCTGTGTAGAGCTCCACCTAACACACTCAGTGGGCTCTGAATTCCAGACTTTTCAGCCATCAGCCATTCTCACCAGGTAAATAGATGTTTAGGGCAGAGCCTGTTTCCTCCCATTGCTTTATTGTGGACCAGCATCCCACACGGGTGAATGTGACTGGTGGAACCCAGGTAACTTATTTGTGCCTATCTACAAAGAAGACTGGGAAGGGAGTTTTTTAGATTTTTTTTAGACTCACATGGTGGGAAATTCCACAGACATAAAAAGAGTGTGTTCAAAAGAGGATGCATCCCATTATGGGGTTTTTATATGAAAAAAAATACATTTAAAAAAGAGGTTGCACAATTCTGAAACTATTTTAGATGTCTTATAGGGTTGAACAAATAAGTAAATATATTGATTTTGTTGGGAGACAGTGTTCTCACTATGGGAGAAGAGACATACAAATATGGAATGATGGGAAACAAAAGAAAAAATAAAGCAAAACCCTGTGGCTCTGAGTCAAGCAGCAGAATCAGAAATTTTTAAAGAAATTTAAAATTTAGAAAAAAAGAAACCCTGTAGGATGAATTGGAGTTGTAGGTATTGATAAGAACTCATTTCTAAAATATGTATAGATGCATGTATATATCTACATATTTATGCATGTTTGTATGTATTATATATGTACATTTACTAGTGCCATATGCTGAAATAGCCAAGAAGCAAAGATGCCGCAGTAGCAATGAGCAAGCCTGGAACCCATATCTTGGTTTTTAAATGCCATTCCCCACCCATCAAAAAACGAAACAAAACCCAGGGCTCCTTGGTGAAATAGCCAGTTCCAGGGCCAGGCGCGGTGGCTCACACCTGTAATCCCAGCACTTTGGGAGGCTGAGGTGGGCAGATCACAAGGTCAGAAGTTCGAGACCAGCTTGGCCAACATAGTGAAACCCCATTTCTACTAAAAATCCAAAAATTAGCCACGCATGGTGGCACGCGCCTATAGTCCCAGCTACTCAGGAGTCTGGGCAGGAGAATTGCTTGAACCCGGGAGGCGGTGGTTACCATGAGCTGAGATTGCACCACTGCACTCCAGCCTGGTGACACAGCGAGACTCCATCTCAAAAGAAAAAGAAAAAGAAAATAAAGAAATGGCCAGTTCCATGGCTGGTGCAGGGTAAACACAGAATGAACCCAGATTGCCTTTGTATTAGGGCTCTCCAGAGAAAAAGAACCAACAGGTTATGTAGAGATAATATTAGAGGCTATTTATTAAAAGAATTGGCTCACATGGTTATGGAGGTCAAGAAGTCCCATGTTCTGTTGTCTGCAAGCTGGCAAACTGGTAAAGCAAGTGGTATAATTCAGCCCAAGTCGGAAGGCCTGAGAATTGGGGAGCTGATAGTCTCAGTCCCTGCCTGAGTCCAAAAGTCCAGGAACCAGGAGCACTGACATCCAAGGGCAGGAAAAGATGAACATCTCAGCTCAAACAGCGACAGCAGATTCACCTTCCTTCTAACTTTTGGTTTCACTCAGGCCCTTGGAGGACTGGATGATGCTACCCACATTGAAAAGGGCCAGGTGCTTTATTCAGTTCACTGATTCAAATGATAATATTGTCCAGCAATAACTTCATGGACATACTCAGAAATAATATTTTATCAGCTATCTGGGCATCACTTAGCCCAGTCAAATTGACACCCAAAATTAACTATCACAATCCTATTCTGTCAGAAATTAGCTGCTTAAAAAATAATAAGGGCACTTCACAAAGGCACAAGGACAAAGAGTTAGCTTCAAATCTGGGACACTTTTAGTGTAAAATAACAACAGTAATGAATTACAAACCATTGGGGAAAAACATAGGAATTCATAAGTCCATATTGGTTATAAATAGATAAACAAACAAATTGGGAAGAAGGGAAGATCCTTGTGTAGAGTACAATGCCAGTGTGGAGAGAGTGCTAGAGTTAGAAAATCATCATTTGGCAACCATTGCAATAAAGATTAGTTCAGGCAAGAATCAGGAACGGATCCTAAATCTAGAGGGGATATTCAGATGAAGAGTACGCTATGCATGATATTAAAGTGTCTTCCTCCAGATTTCTTATTAGTTGCAAGGGGAAAAATAGTAACTATTCAGTCGAATAGTAATACAACAGGTGTAACTTTTGACCGTGTGATCAAAATTAACATCACTGTTGATGGACAGATGGACATGATATGTACACAGAAGTGATGTCCTGAGAAGAACACAACATTCCCCATGCAATATTCTGGCTGAGAATCCATAGCATGAATCTAACCATGAAAAAACATCAGACCAATCCAAAATAAGGACGTTCTATATTTTTTAAAAACTGCATATTTTAAAACTATCAATGCAATAAAAGACAAAAGCTGTAGAAATGTTTCAAACTGAAGAAGACTGAAGAAAGATAACTGAATGTAATAGATAACCATAGACTGGATCCTGACCCGCAGGAAAAAATATAAATGATATCATTTGACCAGTTGACAAAAATTGAAATATACATATTAGGTTAGATAAAAAATACTGTATTCATGTTAACTAGTAACTATCCATTTATTAATGACATTAGTGATATAAGAGAATATTCTTAGTTGTAGGAAATACACACTGAAATATGTAGAGAAAAAGGAGCATGACATTTGCAACTGAGTAAAGGATATATGGGGTGTTCTTTGTACTATTCTTATTCTTGCCTCTTTTCTGTAAGTTTTAAATTATTTCAAAATGAAAAGTTTTAAAGGGCGGGGACTGAAAATACATAATAAATATCCACTATAATAACCCTGTGAGATACATATTATTTCTGTTTTACAAAAGAAGAAACTGAGGTTTAAAAATTTATGTAACTTGCAAGGTAATGTAACTAGTAAGTGTCAGAACTGGGAATTAGACCAAATCATTTTAATATAATTATTTCCTGTTTCCTTGTCTTTCTTTTCCTTTTTAATAGCAGGAAGAACATAGATTTAAATGGTAATAACAGGCACTTCCCAGACATCCTGATGATCAAAGAGTTTGTACTGCCCTGTTGCTTCAAACTTTTGCCTCCAAGGGAAGTGCCTGGAATTTCAGATTCATCTACATTTCTCATCTATCTCTTGGAGGGGGGATGCCAGAGGAGGGGAGAAATGGTAGAGAATTAGAAACTAAATGACCACGGCCAGGGCAAAGAGCCAAACTAAGATCTGAGTAATCCACTGGAGAGCCTCGGGCCTGGATAATGGTCCTTCCTGCAGGTTTAGGGTTCTAGGGTGCTTTGAGGACATTTGGCGAGAGGGAGCAGAAATTTAAGCCTTTCTTGGATGACAGCTCCTCTTTGTCCAGAGAAGAGGATCATCTGCTGTAAAATGACTGCCTTCTCTTACAATGGCAGCCTTCAGGGAGAAACCTGCTGTCACCTTTTTAACAGCGCAGCCGCAGGCTCTGTGCCTGCCCTTCCCAGGAAAGCAGCCATCCTGCAGCTGCTCCGGCCTGGCCTCTGCGGGGGTTTCCTGGACAGAGTTATACAGAGAGGAGCTGTTGCCGGATGCCTTGGGACAGCAGGGGTGGTGTGGGGAAGTTCCCCCTTTGGGCTCCCTGCCACTTCAGAAAGACAAAAATGCAATGAGCTTAATAAGATAGCATCTTTATTCCAAGGGAAATGAGAACACACTGCTATAGGCCTGTCCAGTCCGATGAGCAAGACCTCAAGCAGTTAAGCTGGAGGCATGGCATTGGGATTGTACAGGAGCCACACTGGGGAGTTTCTGAAGGGTTGGGAACCTGCGTGCTGTGAAGGGAGCTATACTTGCTCGTCTCAGCTCAGCCTGCAATGTCCTGGGCAAGGCAGGTAGCCGCCCTACCTATTTAGTGAATGCCAGAGGATTTGTATTATGAATAGTCATCAAAATTAGAGTTGGAAACTCTTCCCTGAGCACAATGGGTGTATCCCCTTCATGTCTGGCCATGGAACAGCATTATCTGAATTCAGACTTCTCCA